AAACATAAATCGATTATATAAATTCGAAATATATTATTATTCTGTGTTTTCTACATTCTTGTTTTTGCTCGTTTGATTATTTTTTAAATTCGTTTTTAAATTTAATTATAAATATTATATTTATGTATGTATATGTATTTCGTACCTAATCTGCTCATTTGTTAAATTTAATGTCTAGAAATTAATGTCTATACATGTATCCACCATCCATCCAGTCTATGTATGAACCAATATATTTATAAAGCATTAACTGCATTTGTACTATCACATATAATCTCAGTCTTGTTAAATTTAAAATACACGCGAATGTATATCTGAGTTATACATACATAAAATTTTGTCAAACTTATATATTATTAAAGTATAAAAAAATTAAGTGTAAGCAACTTTTAAATTAAAATCTTTCTATTTAGAGAGTAGTTTTTGTAGATGAATATATAAGCACAATATATAAAATATGTTTTAGACATTACATTACCAGCAGTCCTTTACCTAAAGAACATATTTTTTTAAATATTGTCTTTTATTAAATAATTAATAACATTTTCAAAAGCACATCGTTACACTACTGTTGTATATTATGTACAATTATTTCAGAATATTCCTTGATAGAATTTTCACATTGGAGAATAAAGAGCGATACTTCAAAATAGTCCATTCGAAGAAAGCATATCGTCTATCACTTTGCACATAATACGATCACTTGAACTACAAGGATCTTGCGTTTGTTGTTCGAAGCCTAAATTGTCTACGGATTCCATAGCGTCTGTGTTTATCGCAAGCTTGGAGTCCAATTCTGATGTATCGGGAAGCATCTGTAAGGCATGCTGCAATATTTCTTGAACCTGGAACAAATTTAATATTAGCTACAATGTGAAAATTATACGTGAACATTACTATAAAAGTTGAAAAGAAAATCCAATGTGAATAAGAGTCAAGATATATACCTTTTCGAGGTGTTTCTGGAAACGCAGCGCTGTTTCATGACGTTGTCTACGCTGTAGTTCCATCATAACTCGCAATGTTTCCCTGGCTTGATGCGGTCGAAATTCATTTAGCAAATGATGAATGTGAATGAATAATAGACTGAGATCCTCGACCTGTAAGAATGTTAGTTATTCCATCACAGAATATAAAGGCTATAGAACATAGGAAAAACATAGAAAGTAACAAAACTGTGAGCAAATCGATCAATTACAGTAGGGAATAAGAAGAACGTAAGACAATAAGAAGTAGTAACAAATAAAAAATGTTTAAGTTTTAAGGCTATGGCACATGAAAAAAAAAACATGTAGTAAGCAAATGAACATTTTGGATTTGCTTATATATTACTTTTGCTTATATATTACTGCTTCCACTATAATTAATCGATATTGCTTATATATTGCTCTTACATTTTTCTATAAGCTATGGCTTTTACTGCTTAAGGAAATTTATGTGCAGAAACTCTAATATGCGATACTAGTGTCTTATAGACTTAATATTTAAATAGAGATACAAATTATAAAAAAGTAAAAACTTTGAATAAGAAACAGTAAAAAAATTTTTACTCAGATATATATTTACTTCGAACATTTGACACTATTAATTGCTTTAGAATTCAATTTTTGCATCAAAAGATTTCTATCTAAAAATACTTAGCTGTAAACAATCAAGATATAGTACAAAAAAAAAAAAATTATTTCAATCAATGACAATTTAATTTCAGTTCAACTTTTCATTTTTTTCTAATTTTTTAAGAATTAGAAAAAGCTGGAGAGTAAGTAGAACAGAGATAAAATTTAATCCACATTGATAGAAATTGATATAAGTGGTAATCATCGATATACTTGGTTTCGTTGATCAACTTAAGTGCTAAATTAACGCAAGGATGTTTCCATTATTAAATGTTTCCACTATTAAAGATAATGTCGAAATAACGCAAATATTAAACGGTCTAAAAATAAATAAATTTTATCTTTTTTTTTAGAACTTTGATTAAAACAAAGATTTTACTCCAAAAAAGAAAAAAGAGAAGCTATTAAAAAAAAAGAAGTTATTTTTTTCATCTCTGGATACGATCAACGCGATGCTGCAAACATCTTTGAACTGATCAGTTTGTAAAATTCTTTCTTCTAATTGATTTATCAAACGCTTCAAGGCATTTGTAGCAAGACTTTGACCACAGCCTGTATCTAAATAAAAATAATAGGAGTTTGTTTTTTTTTTTTCAAATTAGAAATACAGCCTACTTTCTCAGCGCGTCTTGGACTGTCGGGACACTGAACAAGAAGGTCTATCAGATCGAGGAAATTGACGAGCAATGAATGATTGAGTTTCTTCAACTCGCGCCGACGATCAAAGTGTTGTGGGTACAACCTCTTGATGCCCTGGGCCTCGAGCGGCCTAATGATGGTGTCATCGGCGTTGAACATGTTGCTGAACATGGAATAGGTGTCATGGATTGGCGGCGGCGGTCGCGGGGCTCGTCCACGCCGTACATTTTCATCTGTGTAGAGATTGATATATTGAACGGGCGGCAGCGGTAGGGAGCTAACCTGGATCGCTTCGGGAGCCGCCATTCTCGATTCACACCTCGATACCGGCGGATGAGATCGACGTGCGAAAAGACAGGTTATCTGAGAATCCTTTCTCAATTTCTTCGAGATCGTCGTTCCTATACTGTCCTGTAGTCGTTCGTAGTATCGTGTAAATCGTGTTACGCTTGCCAAGATCTCTCACAGCATCAAAGTGACAAACAAGTCGAACAAAACGATCTCTTCTAATTGCGTCACTTCAGTCGACAGTCGCTTGTTCGATGATCCTCTGGTCGGCCATTTTACTTGGTGCTACTGCATGATACTGCACTGTACTGCACTACTGCCGCTACTGGATGCTACGCGGGTCGACAAGTGTCTCGTCTCGCGTCAATTTTTCTCGCAAGGATGGAAGATTCATTTTTCTCTCTCTGATATCTATTGATATTCACGAGACGCTCTTCTTCTCAAGTCTCAAGTCCATGTTGAATCGGCCAATCGACTCGGTTGTATTGACACTGTTGACTGGTGTTGACCAGCGTGGTAAGACATTTCCTGATATCTATCTCGTCTGCGCTGGCCAATGCCGCCAATTCCGTCAATTCCCGTTTCTCATCCCCGACCCCGATGTCGGACGTCGCCGCTGGCCGCGCTGCGCCGTGGCCGAGCGCCGCGCCGCGCCGCGACTGCCGCGAGACATCTCCGTTTTGACAGATTGTGTGCGTTCCACGTGAACTCTTTGTTTGGACGCCGGGAATTCTGGAATGATCGCGAGATGGTAGTCGCACCGGCCAGGCGGTCAAGCCACACGTTCGTCGCATAGTAAGAGGAACGATCCGGAGAATTCGAATTCAATCGTGCTCGAGCGCGATAAGTACCGCTTTTGGGAGCGTCCGTGTCGTTCAGGTTGTTCTCTTGACTGCGCTTCGTGAGTCTCGTCGCCTCCGCCTGGATTCCGTAGCTCATTCTTGACGATGCCCAATGATCATTGGTTATAATCGCCACCAGACACCAGATCAGACACGTGAGCGCCTTTGAGCGCTGCATCACTCCTTCGCATTCGCATGGGGGCGGGGATTATGGGACGAGGAAAAAGGTGCTATATTTAGATATTTCTTTCGCCTCCTTTACTTATCTCAAGCAGACCGGATAAGCCGGATGGGAGAGACCTCGAATGTAATTTTTTTTTTTTTTTTTTCGTGTCTAATTAGAATGTGTTGTGCAACAAGTATTAATTGTAGCCCTTCATACGATGGAATATCGACGCCCCTTGACGATGGGGCTCCATTCTCGTGCAGGAAAATGATACTTTCATTATTGTTGCTAGGGAAGCCCTCCTGTGATGGCAGGGAAAGATGGGAAGCTAGAGTCAAAAGGTGGAGACGTTATTCGGCAGGGATTCATGATAAAACGTTCACAGAACAAGAAGCGCTTTACCCCGGTCAATTACAAGCAACGATGGTTTATCCTGACCAAACATTATCTCATCTACTACGACGGAGATGGTGAGGTGAGTAATTTGAATATATCAAAATGTTTTTATCTTTTATTATGGTCATGTTCAACCTGTGGTTGCGTTAGAAATTATATTTTCTCTTCTATTTTTAATTCTATTTTATTTGTGCAAACAAATATTCTATTTTATTTGTGAACAAACAAATAAACATATTTACGATCTGCAAAATTTTCTCTATTTATCAAAGTTGCTCATTCATGCTAATTTGTGTTAACAAGTACATCTATCGAGCATGACAGTTGGAAGATGTTTTAATTAAGTCCATTAATTTTGTTGTGACTTTAATAACATTTTATTAAAAAGAATTTATAAATTGTTCAAACATTCATTTATAAATTGTTTATATTCATTGAGTGTAAAATTCAATTACAATTATTGTGTCACTACGTCCATACGTGATGGATGAGCACGCACAATTCCAGGAAACATCAGAAACATTACTCATCTTCTTTTTTACAATTGTACAAAATTCACACACGTACATAAAAAAATTATAATAATTTTTTTATTACAGAATCTTGAATCTTTCAAAAAAAGTTGGATTACAAATCTTATAATTTTGATTAATACATAACTTTAATTAGCTATTAAGCTAGTAGATAATTATTCGGTAATAATTCGACGATTATAACACATTTGATTTTTTGTTTTTATCCAAGAAACAATTAGACGAAAACTTGTTCATGCGTCGTCTATAGTGAACAGTAAGAAGTAAGAGTAAGAAATTCACCAATCACAATCGGTTATTCTTACATTCGATTGTGATTGGTCAATTTCTTACTCTTCTTATTCCGTGTATTGTTGACTGTAGACGAGGCATCAGAGGTTGAGCAGGTTGAGCTGTTTGAACAAGCAGGATGGAGATGACCGGTAACCGCGTGCGATCGTGACTAGCACCAATAGTTATCTCCGTCTTCGTCATCTGCATTGAGCGTAGTAGGGGTAATGATGATTCCGGTAGGAGATGGCGGATAACATGCATCTATACCGTATACCTATAAAATTAGTGGCGCAGGCGCCCCGCGTGAATTTTCCATCCTATCTCTTCTTCCGCTTCTTCGTCGTTGATGCTGCTCAGTCAGTGGTTGTCGTTCGAGGTCGGTCTCGGCGACGCACGATCCTTAGATTTCGTTTGGTATCGTTCCACACAAGTTGACGATTCCTTGGACGAGTCTATAACGCTTTAATTTCTGATATTTCTCTCTTCCTCTCTCTCGCTCTCTCTTTCTCCCCCCCTCCCCTCTCTCTCGTACGACGAACAAAATAGAGATACGAGGAAGTAATTCTAGTAGTGAATCTTGTCCTATCTGATTCGCTAATAGAGTTCCACAATATATCTGTCGAAATCCTTCACAACACTTCTTGTAGGGACACCAATTGTGATCAACTGTGATCTCAATTATCTTTTCACATCGCTTCGAGAGAATCGCCTCTTACGCATCGTCCGTCATACCGATCTCGGACGTTGTGGCCTTGGCGTAGTGATCCACGTGCGGATCCTATCAACTTGATCATCCTGTTCACCACGTCACGAGCTCTACCATACAACGTGGAGGTAAAGAGCCGAATTCGGATACTTTTCGTTCCGTTCTTTCATTTTTATTTAATTGATTAGGCTGTTCGTCGTCGGATGGACAATTCATGTTGCATGAATCTCTTTGAATTCCGCTAGAAATGTTTTCGGGGAAAGTCGCTGGATGCCGTTTGCAAATTACTTTTTCGCGTCTAAAGTATAGATGTACCAATATTCCAATGATAGATCTACTTATATTATGCTACGAATATCTTACAATTTAGTCAATCAAAATCAACATCTGTGTGCTAAATACATCCCTCGTTAACAAGTATCTCCAAGTCATTCTGACACATCCAAGATTTCTAATTCTAATAATATTGTCATTGTGCAATTTATATTGTCCTTCTCTCTCCCTCTCTCCCTCCCACCCAGTTCTGGTATCAAAGTTGTTGGAGTCAGCGCCAACCGATTTGATTTGGAATGAGTCGACTGTTAATGCTAATCAGATGAGAAATTGTTGCAGCGTCGCAAGGAACGCGGACGGATCGCCGTGGAAAGCGTCCACGTGGTGGAGACGGCCAGTCTCGGGAATGGTGGAGGTGCTGTCAGTGATGTGGCGGGTGGCGGTGGCGGCGGCGGCGGCGACGCCGTCGGCGGAGGCGGCGGAATACCATCCGGACTGCCTTTCCAGGTGGGATATCGGGAAGCTGGTCAAGAGTACACACTCTACCTCCTCGCCGCTCGCGAACAGGATCGCACCGAATGGATACGCGCTATACGCGCTGGTAAGTCTCCCTCTTCCTTCACATCTTTCTTTCCCTCTCGTAACTAGAATGACTGTAGAATGAGTCTTTCAGTGCCCAATTTTTGGCAAATAAAGGAAAAGTATTAAAAAGAATTTAAATACAATATATTTATAAAATATATTAAATACAGTATATTTAAATACAATATATTAAATACAGTATATTTAAATACAATATATTAAATACAGTATATTTAAATACAAAAAAATATATATGTTTGTAGATAACAATTTTTGTCGCTGAAAAACGAATCCGTAAAATAAAATTGCTTATTGCTCTATCACGTCAGATTTTTGAGAAAATTGATACTAAAGATATCACAGAAAAACAACATTTTTGGATTTTTTTTTAACTGAAATATCTGAAAAAAAATGTAATGTGATAGAACAATTTACAGATTTCATTTTGTCAGATAAAAAATCTATAAGAATCATTGTTCCGTTCGTAATTTAAAAACCTATGTCGGATAATATAATCTATAAGACTCTAAATCCATTATTGATGTTGTACATATAATATGCATGATTAAAGTTTTTTTAAAATATTACGAATTGTGCAGTAAAATTGCAATAAAATTCGAACCGACAACATCTATTAAATCAATTCTGAGAGTAAAATTCGAAGTCGTACCATAATTTATCATTTAAAGCGCAATATATGTTATGCTTAAAAACAATTTACGAACGACTACTTATTTGTAGTGTGCAGTGAGAATTCGGGCTTGAGCGGGCGTTATCACGCGGGCCTATGGAGCGGAAAACGTTGGTCCTGCTGCCGATTATCAACACGCTCCGCCGAAGGCTGCGACACTTGCAGCTCCTGGTCTTCGAAGCCAACTACGAACGCTACAAATCCGTCCTCGACGACAATGTCAGCCTCGACAACATCGACAACGTCCGTGCCTGGTAGCACCAATATCATTAACAATACCATTTCAACGACTACCATCACGTCCGATCATCGTCCACAATCCAACGCCGAAGCGAATAACAATCCAATCGTCCAATCGCAGACCCGCTCAACAATCGGTTCGTATTTTACATTTACAATATTACATTTTTACGCGCCTTCATATTGTATATATTATATTATTCTCGTCTTTGGTAATTAGCGAATCGATGCGCTTCTTTTCATTTCAAGAGAGTCTTGGGATTTAATAAATGGATTATTCGTCGGATAAAAAAATCGATCCGGAAAAACTTTATTTACTTGCATCAAACTTTTTTATGCCGATACGTCGTTCAGTTGCGATACGCTTGCCAAAATCTGCTAATTTCGGCACATAAATTTTATGTAATCATCGAACGAGCTAATTACGACATAATTGGATATATAAATTGCTGGTGTATATATGAAGCCTCAGGTTATCGCGAAAGAAATATTTTATCCGAGCGCGTATTGAAATAACGCATAAAGAGAACAGGTGGTGCATGTAAACAGCAATATGTAATTAACTGTTAGCAGCTTTATATTTAATATGCGTAATAACGAGTGTATCTTGTTTCAAGATTGACCTTGTTTATTGGCATGCTGTAAACTTGTTCTATTGTAATTGAGCGATAATTATTCACATTGTAGATTAAACAACGGATTCCTCTATGAATTAAGAAAATCTTATTTCCTTCGCTAGTATGAGTGACTAGTACGTATAAGGATAATAGAAAAGAATTGTTTTCAAGCGAGTGATTTTCTGAATTTCTTATATCTTCAAGTCTAACGGCTTGGAACGGCTCATATGTATGACTTGAAAAAGCTTATACATTTCTAAAGGCGGAAAATCCTAAGCATTCTCTAAGAGTAGGAAATACAGCATAAATTTTTACATCACTCTCATGAAATTTTTATTTTTTGAAAGAATGAAAGAAGATAAGAAACTGCATTTTTAATAACTACGGAAAGTAATATTAAATAAGGAAATTTATTCTTACTCATTTCGAGTGATTTTGTCTCAAAAAATAAGTATGATTGATAAGTTGATTGATAAGTGCGCTCATGTAGGTATATTATGTAGGTATATGTGCGTGTTTTTGTTTATGGAGTTTTTATTGTCGATCTCTTTTCGAGGATTAGACGAAAAACAATGAAACGGAATTTTGCTGTAAAAAGAACAATATTCGAACCGTCGCGACGTTGGAGCATCTGCCTAAAACTTTTCTCTTAGACAGCATGACATTTTTCAGTATCGTTGAAACATCCTGACTTTCGCGAACCCGAATTACATCGTCGTAAAATTGTGTCTCGATCACAAGTGTCGTTTTTTCTCAATAATTCAGCAAACGCTCCAGTTCCTTTATCGCTCGAGGCAAGACAGTCCTCCGATTTTGCTAATAATGCTCTTGATATCGCGTATCAATAATTGAAATTTCGCATCATCGCGATTTCGCGTAATGAACGTATTTCCATCTGACGGAAAATGGAAATTCGAGACAGGAGAAAGAAATCTTTCGAACTCCTTTCCCAACGTGGATTAATCTGATTATAAAGCCCATTACTCGGATCTGAGACACTTGAGGAAATAGAATTGTCATCGATGCGATGAGATACATGACACGGTCTCAGAAAAAGAGAGAGAGAGAGAGAGAGAGAGAGAGAGAGAGAGAGAGAGAGAACCGAAAAATATGTACGTTAGAGCATATTTTTGCACGAGTGTCGTACTTTACGTAACTATTCGCAAATACCCAAAAGCATGACATTTTGCCCTGCAGGAGCAAGTGACGTAGGTGACAGTTTTTACGAAGGAAAACTTATTATTAGATAGTCTTTCATCAAAGATCGATACGTGAGCGATCGTATAAAATATAACTACCTACATATTTGTCATACGAATTGTCTGTATATAATTCGCGAATATTAACGAGTTTCAAGAGATATTAGATGGCTCTCGAATGATATAATTTTAACAGCAATTTTTTCTTTCTTCGAGGTTTATCTTTCTCGAGTGTGTCAGTCCATTTTATCCATTTGCGTTAAAGTTTAGAGCGAATTAATATATATTGACGGCGAATCGCGCGAGGAACTTTCGATCGTCTTTCAAGACTCGAAGTCAAGTCGACCTACTTAATGGCAAATTAAATTTCAGACATTTTAATTGCAAATTCGAGTATTGAAATGTGTTTAATACTATCAGGGCATTGTGTGTATAACGAAAATATAAATTTAATCTCGATTGATCAAACTTATTCCCACGACGCCCGGATTAAATTTATTCTCGGAACATCGGGTGCCAGCAAATTAATCCAATTAATTTATTCTATTAAAGAAACATGACATTTTCACTCGCACACCTTTCGGCAAATTTCATCATATTATTTTTCATCGTTCTTTTTTCCATTTTTCTTGATAATTGAACCTTAATGATGTTATGTAACGGTCACTATTCAGTTAACAATTATCTCAATTACTCGCTCAAGGCGTTTATCGATAAATTGCCTGAAATCAAATTCTAGCGTTATACAATATTTTATTTAAATCGCGATCATTCCGTCTATTTAGTTTAGAGAATCGGCGATTTGCGAGAAGTTGTCGTGTTTATCCAAATTGACATTCGCGACGTAACATCGGCCTCCGCGTTGTTTCCACGGCACATAGGCCTTGCATTTATGTATGCAATATTCAATATCCTCAGTGTTTCTAGCGCAATGAGACGCGACTCAAGACTCAATGTAGCATAACTTGGCACAGTTTTTTTTACATAAAAAAAACGGCTAACTTTACACACATGGATTTACGCACATGGACTCAAGTTTTAATTTATAATACGCGTGGAAAGTCTGGCGGTGCTGTTGTCGAAAATTTTATGAATCTGAAGCGAATGGTCGCATATATAGGTAAGTGAATTTCAAGCGGTATTTAGATTTAGCAAGTAGATTTGAGTAGCCTCGGATTCACAATGTTTCTGTGATTTATCCACTGGTTAGTCTTTTTACCCTTTGTGATAGGCACAGGGATAAAATAAAGACCCTTTAATAAGAATCTATATGAAACAATCACTTTTGATGTAAGAGAGAGAGAGAGAGAGAGAGAGAGAGAGAGAGAGAGAGAGAGAGAGAGAGAGAGAGAGAGAGAGAG